CACACACACACACACACACACACACACACACACACACACACACACACACACACCCCTCTAATATCTCCTTTTGTCCACTGAGCTCTTTGTTGGAGTCCTTGGCCTGTTTGTTTTCCACTGAGTCACAGATTTTGATGATTTGTGTCTGATCCTTGCATGCAGCTTCAAGGCCAGTTAATATTGTGTCATTTTGTAGCAGCGGAGATTGGCTGAGCCTGCTTTTGCCCCACGAGTCCCAGGAGAGACATTCTTCGAGTGATAGCAGAGGAACACTGACAAGTCACTTCATTACACAAATGACACGCTAAAAAGTCATATCATTATGGGTCTTTTTTGTTATTTCTAACTCCAGCGGTTATGTTAGCATTCTGAAACAATATTAATAATGAGATGAAAAACACATCTTCCGTTCAACATGTGCACGTTGTATTTTCCACAGAAGGTTAGAAGAACACATCAACTAAAATGCCTGCAGCATGAGTGCCCTGTTAAACCCACGAGACCTCTCTGCAGATGGACAGGGTTAGAGTGTACAGTGATATCACAAGTCAGTACGATGCATTTTTGTGCAAGTAGAAATGTAATGCATGAATGCATTCCAGCTGATATTATTAATTTTTTATTCACAGCAGGTTAGATTTAGAAATGAATCACAATTTGGGGCAACTGTTTCCCATGACAGAAAATCCTTATTGGAACTTGCATTTAGTCATTTTTATAAAGTTGGATATAATTAGAAAAAAACCTTGCAATGCAGTGGAGACTTCATCTTATGGAGTATGATGAATGGGCAGGAAAACATTTGCATATTTGGCTTCAAAAACTGCTTTGTCTATGAATGGTGCTGAGTAAGTGGTGTGCAGTATTTTTGTCTGTTGCTGTTTTTAACAGCCTTTTCATTGGAAAGAGCTTCCTGTGCCTGGAAGTAACCAGCGCTGAGCTCTGAGAATGAACCACAGAATTAAAATTGGAGGCTGTAAAAACCAAATCAAAGAGGCTATAAATTTTGGTAACACTAAGAGGAACTTCAGTGTTGGCTGTTAATTCCTTTGTGTCTGCCTATATTTGTGATTAATTTAACAATGAGTAATAGTCATCAAAAACACTATGAAAAAAACAAACTAAAAGCCCTTAAGCACGGGACTTTTAATAGTTGTTATTTCATTACCGTATAATCATGGCTATAAGCCTCTGAAGGTACAGTCAGATCTTTTACAAAACCTCCCCTTGATAGTCACAAAGAAGGACATAAGTGACCTTTGGAACAAACTTAAATTTACGCTTAAATTTTGGTTTTTTGCACACGCTTTTCGCTACTCCAGAATCCCACACCTCCTGCATAACAAGTCATATGTTTCACATAATGCCTGTTGATGGCATTTTAAGGCCTGTTTCAGTCATGGAGAACCACTTGATGTGAAAGCATGCAACTGCACAGTTAAATAAGCAATACAATCAAGTCGACTCTTCCGATTCCCCAAGCTGCAACAGTATGATACACCAATCGTTAAAGCAAAGTGAAGAGTCAAATGCCAGCACATAATGCACATAATCCCTTGCACAGTGGGCCACTGTCCTAAAGACGTGTTACCTGTCACACTGGATTAGAAAACATTTTGGTTGTAAGTTGTTAAATTTTTATATGTCTTTTTCTGTGCCTAAACACAACATGTTCAAGTCCATTCTTCCTTCTGGACGTCTTTAATGTGGACTACTCCAGTAAAAAACCCCCACTGTGGTTAAACACGGAGAACTATCCCAGACTGTGCAGATGTCTAATTAAGATGACTTTGTTACCAGGTGTTGTGACGTTAAGCTTCATGCTGTTTATTTCCACTTATGGTTGTGGTTTATGTTTATGTTTATGTTAAATCCAATCACCTGAGTATTCTGTAATCCACCAGGATTTTTAAATCTGCATTTAAAGCTTGTTTCTGCTCTTGGCTTAGAAAAAAAAATCTATTTAATAATGTTTTACTTAAGGCCTTTGTGTGTGTTAGAATGTGTGGGTGACGTGTTTTGCATAAATCTTTTTATACTTTTCTATTTCCTGCTGCTTTGTGTGCCATTCTGCTCTTTGCCTCATCTGGTAAACCTTAAAGAACTAAAAGTGTGTCACGTTTGAGTCACGGTCTTTGGTCTTTGTTCTGTATCATGTCCTTAAATGAACAGCTCTAAAATATTTCCAAGCTACATGTCAGAAACAGCAAGGGCACAAGGGATGGATGCCCTGACCATGGGATGAATGTCCTTTACTGCATTTTTGGGCTATTAAATTTGCTTGTTTTCTTTTCATTTTGATACTCTGCTTTTTGTCTTTGCTTTTCTTTTCCAAAACTATTTTCATATATATACAGCTTAACTTCTTCCACCGTTGTAGTGCGTGACAAATCCGAAAGTCAACTAAAATACATTTGCAAGCCGCAGAAATTAAACTTTTGATATTACTGTCCTCAGATTAGTCACATTTCCCTCCAAATCCTTCCCCTGTCGTCGACCAACTGTGTCATGCATGGCTGCTAAAAAACTGATCTATAGCATGTTTTTCTGTCACAAAGTTTCTTTATTTTTGCACATGCTGCAGCTTTTTCTTTTAAGTTCTGCAAGCACTGTTATTTTACGAGAGCTGTTGAAATGCTCACAGAATAGAACATATCACAAAGGTTAAGCAGAGGACAGGTTTCTGTAGCTTTTCAAA